CACTGTAAAGGAGAGCGAAAAGATCGCGCGCTGGGACGATTTCCGTCGGCTGATTCCCAGTAATGAACCTATGACTCTACAAGAGACACTGAATGCATCCACTCCATGATACTTGCCCGGGAGCATTACTTTTGGCTGGAAGGCCGACTTTGGAGGCGGAGTCACTGGAAAAAGGGATGTACCACTGAAGCAACTTTGCGCCTTAATTCCTTTACCGTACAACTTTCCGCCGCGAAACTGGCACAGGGTTGTCCACTCCGGACCGCACTACCTTCCCACATAACCTCTTGCATTTTCATAGGTCATCGCGAACCACTTTAACATCCACAGCAGACTATGTATATAAGGTGCCGCTATTATAGTAGCAGTATACCGGCCCGGAAAGGGTGAGACAAGAATCTGATTACCAGCTGAAGAAGAGCGCTCTCCTCAGAACTGTCCACTTCAAAGTTGTGGTAAGTACTAAGGCTGTTTGAGCGCTTCTTTTTGAGCTACCGTGCAATACGATTCAGGACAATTCGTGAACTTGCTGAAAATGCACTCGACGTTGAGGAATATCAATAAAGTCTGTCATAGACATGTATCTTTGACCAACTAGTCCGTATCCCGTAGAGGGGGTGGGCGTGTCTTCGTACTTAGTTGTGAATGCACTATCCATGGAAAGATTGCCGATTCAAGTAGATAGGAGCGGCAAGTTATCGGTCCTCCATTGTGCTGCCCGAGCTTTCTTACATTCACTGCCTACGTCTCACATGGACCGGCAGCTGTCTAGCGCCGCTAACGCTGATAGCTGTGTATTGTTCACGACTTCTCCATCCTTGGAATATGAACTGTTCGATAGAGTTGTTGTAGTGGCAAGTGACGAAACGAACCACGTTCAGCTCTGCTGTCTAATCTCGGATGGTCCTCCGCACAATGTAGCCAAATCTTTCATATCTACGGGCAAATTAGCCTGGCTCTAGACTCCAAGGTATAAAACCAACCGGTTCTGGACTCGTCTGGGTATAAAAGCACTGACTTTCCCACGTTGGACCCCAAGGGACATACTATAGGGCCATAGTGCATTCGGAGGCCATTAGCAATCCCAATGGCCTCCGAATGCACCATGGCCCTATAGTAAGAAGGACGCGTGCGGCGTCCTCAGAGGGAGTAGTGTACAGTGGAATTTTTTTAAACTTTCATTCATAAAAACTCTAATAAAGGCATTTTAGGGAGTTCACTTGGTCTATACAGGGAGGGTACGGGAGCCTCTGGTCTTCGGATAAACGTTTCCAGTACTTTATCATATACATATCCCAGTTTTCTTGTATAAAATGAAAATGTAATTTCTCAAACAATTTATGCAAACGGAATATCTGAAGAAAACGTTCTTATCGAAATTTCATATATTGAAAACTCACCATAAGCAATTTCGAAACGCCATGAGAGAATATCGCCCCTGGTTGTGCGAACGTTTGAGCAGTAACCGCCAGAGCTGCTATGACAATAAAGGCAATTGTGGCTAGAAAACGTGGCGATACTGAACGACGGCTGGTGCGGAACGGACTGCGGAACACCTGCACACGTTCGATTGTAGCGTACATCATGCACCTTGAACAGTACGTATTACAGCGCAAATCATGCCTTCCGGTGAGGCTTAGAAAGTGTCAACATACCAGATTGAGATTGCGCTCAGCCAGTTCTGAATACCACTCATAAGATGAACTGAAGAGCGGTAAAGTTGACTGTTATGGATCAGAACTTTCTGAAACAAAATAGTCCTCAGTGAGAAAGGGCTGCTACCGCTACTGTCACACGTGAAATTCAAGATTTTCCTGTCTCCTCTGGCCAATAGTAGTTTGCAAGTTTAAGTGGCGGGGGAGGGGAATGGGGTCAGTATTCAACAGGTTTTTTCCATAACAGGCTATCCGTCCTACCTACTAGGCTGTACTCTTTCAAACAACCCATCACTTACCCGCCTTCTGTCTGGAACTCCATCAGCCTCTTGGGCTCCCATTGACAGTGATCACTGTGACTGCCATGGTGTCTTTGGGACACACTCTCTCTCTTCCACGACACTGCCAATGGCACTGTCCACGCTGATTGCAGGGCGAAGTCTACCATGGTGCCCGTGCACTCATTGCTCCTCTTGTTCTTGAGGCGGTAACGAAGACGAGCATGTCAATGAAGAGGGTTCAACAGTAGGCTTGACTCCACCCACACGATAACAGTGGACAGCATCCTTGATCTAACATTAATAGGTCTACACATGAGCTCGTAACTTACACAGAAGAACAGGAATGGTGGAATGTGCATCAGAAGAAAGAATAGGTCAGCGAAAGCCATCACAGCAAAAATCTGAAAAGAGTATTTACTATTCCATTCTTCATGACAACTATATGAGTAATAATAATGAGCTGTCCGCGTGGTAGCTTCTCCAGTAGAGAAGGGAGATGAGCCAGTACTGCGATCTGTTCCCGAACCTCGTCGACACAGTGACAGGCATATTAAAATGAAGGCAGATTACGTGCTCGCGGTATGGGCGGATAAGAGTGGGGCCTTAGTGGTGCGTCCTACTCTTCAGGGAGAAGAACCGTAGTCTATCCCTGTCACGCTCAAGTCCCCACCCATCCGCTTATCTTGGAATATGGCTCGAAGCACATGTACTCTTGGAACAAGATGTGCACTGTACAATTAGTAATAACATCCATGTACGCCAAAATTATCCGGAACCTAGACTTGAGCCGCATCGTGCTGTATTCGCTAAACGTAGACCTTATAGGACATCGCTACTCTATGCCAATTTTCTGTATTCTACAGAATGAACCTCACTTGTTTACCTCTACCATGATATCAATGTTGTTTACCATTTGCACATTCGCTTCCTCCCAGCCAGGAGTATGGTTTAGTTTGTTGTGACGCGGTTCGATGAATAAACATCCGACGAAACCCTCGACCGGCAGAAGCAAGATGGAAGGAGTAGGAACAAGTGGCGACCACGGCAACAAAGTTACGGACCAAGAACAGAAGATGTATGCTCCAGGAGACAACTCAGCACTGAACTTCGTCGACGCGTCTATTCTCAGTAAGTTGGAGCTTCCCACATTCGATGGCAATATTCTCGACTATCCAGAATTTTCGCGAGGTTCACTACCTTAGTGGGAAGCAAAACCCAACTCGATGACACAACAAAATTTTCCCTCCTCAAATCTTGCCTTCCGCGGTCGCGCTCTGCAGTCTATTCAAGGCCTTTCTATGACACCGGGGAACTACAAGATCGCCTTGGATATCCTAGCGACCCACTACGATGACAAAGTTACCATGAAGCACATCATCTACACAAAGCTGTCCCAATTACCCAATTGCGATCCAGAAGGACGCAACCTACAGTCCTTATACAATCAAATGTTCGCATTGGTTCGACAGTTCACCGACGGACAGGACGATTCTTCTGAAACAGGTTTGGGAGCGATTCTCCTCAACAAGCTACCTGCCAGAGTAAGAAGCCAAATTTACGAC